TGTTGCTAAAGTAAAAAAAAAAACTTGGACCACAACCAAAGCTGAAAAAAGATATTCAAGAACACTCAAGGGCAGAAATTAAATTACCTGTCAATTAGTAGTTGACTTTAAGAACTAAAACCTTTATCTCAAATTCTAAAGTTGAACTCCATTTTGATCATTATAAAGATATAATACAGGAGTATATTCTTAACTTTAGAAGTACAGAAATGATAGATCATGCCGCATTATTCCTAAAAACTGATATAAATTCATAGTTGTTCTATAGCCTGCTAGTTTTCTTTCTTTTTGTTGAGACTCCCCTCAGCAGACGTTTTATGGGCTGCACCATCTGCAAGATCCAACAAATCTCTATGTGAAACAATGACTCGAAACCAAGAAAAATTGTGCTATTAATTTTAATTAACCATATTTTCCTGTAGAGCAACACCAGAACATACTGCATCCATATGGAGGGACTGTGTTTACTTTTTTTGAGAGTATGGTACTGATATAAATTTCTAGTCCACCGCTTGTTATTATACTTCCTTACCTCTTTATTGTGTTAGGTATCATTGTTATTTAGTAAATCAGAGACATAACATCAGAGCCTTAAAAAAAATAAATAAATAAAAAACAATCAACTGGACTTTGTTTCAGTTTGAAGATGTTTCGCTTCCCATCAAGGAAGCTTTTTCTTTTGATGGGCTACTGTATAAAACCTCAAACTCAACTCTATTGCTGACATACTATACACATCTTCACATTAGACCAAGAAAATTATGTGGACAACACAACTCAGCAAGAGACTTTCGACAGAGTTGACTAAAAGATAACCAACCAATGCAAAACAGACTGTTTGCAACATTTCTTTGTGGGTTACAGAAACTTTCTCTTTCCTGAAGAGACTACAAGTGTGAAGATCTGTATCAAAGCAGAGCTTCCCTGCTCTGGACCTGCCATGCTCAGCTGCTGAACACTGGAGACAACTCAGTCCAAAACGGGAATCAGCAGAGGTTAGAGGTCTGACATATTAAGGGAAAGAGTTGTCAGCTAAGCAATGTTGGTTTTCTGATGATTTTCAATCACTTCATGTTTTTACTTTTGTGTAAGACAAGCTAAGAAGTGAGTCACATGCAATGTTGTGCCTTTTCATCATTAAAAAGAACAGGTTCAAAGTTCAGTTCACACAGATGAAAATGAACTAGCTCCGTCATGATCATGGCACTGATGACTGGCTTAATTTCTCATTTCATTCAGCTGTCTAACTTTTCCCGGTTTTCATTACTACTCATCTGATCCACCTGCTCCTGCCTCTATTTAAGGTGCTTGCATCCATTCATCAGTGCAAATTATTCTTGTTCTCTCTAGCCAGTGGTGAGAATGATTTTAGGGTTCCTTGGTGTTTCTGATTTCCGGATCCTGAAATGTTTTGCCTCTCAACCACTGCACCTGCATGTTTCCATATGATCTCGGTGGTGAGAGTGTTTTTAGCATATCTGAACGTTTCTGATTTCATGACCTGTTCTGCCTCTAAACCACTGAGCCTGCCTGTTCTCATCTGAACAATTTGCCTGAACTGTCTTTGGACTCCTGGATCTTTGAGCCTTCCTAATCCTGTTCTGGTCTGTTTGCCTGACCTGGCTTTGGTATCCTGCAGGTTCCCTGGGGCTAAAACATCCACATCTTGTTGACCTTTGTTTTCTCTGTCCAAAGTTACCTGCCTTAGATGTGCTAGCCACTGTTGCTTCAGATCTGCAACCCATCAGTGTTTTATTAAACACTTTTTGAAGTTATCCCACTGTGGTTAGAACATAGAACATATATGTGTTAGAAGGTGCCAAAACACCTTCTAAGATATATATGGTCCATGTCCTGATATATATATCCCTTAGAGATAGGGTGAGGAGCTCGGTCATTCGGGAGAGGCTCAGTGTAGAGCCGGTTCTCCTCCACATCGAGAGGAGTCAGTTGAGGTGGCTCGGACATCTTCTTCGGATGCCCCCTGGACGCCTCCCTCGGGAGGTGTTCCAGGCACGTCCCACTGGGAGGAGGCCCAGGGGATGGCCCAGGACACGCTGTAGAGACTACGTCTCTCGGCTGGCCTGGGAGCGCCTATAGGGCTTCCCCCAGCAGAGCTGGAGGAGGTGTCTGCGGAGAGGGAAGTCTGGGAGTCTCTGCTTAGTCTGCTGCCCCCGCGACCCTTTTCCGGATAAAGCGGGAGACGACGAGTACGAGTCCTGATATAGCCTGTGGCATTCTTTCTCAGAGGTCAGAATGGTGCTGCTTTTATTCATGTTCTCCTTGTTCAGGGAGCCAGTGTTCATGGATGTTCATAATTCTAGGAGGTTTGTTGCTACTTGATATTTTAAGATGACTGAAAAAGATTTGTGTACGGTGGTACAGTTGCTTTTACTGGTAGCTCTTAAGATGATTTATTGTTTAATTCTAACTGGAGGCTTTTCTTGATTAAATTGTCATACAGATATGGGATCTAGGCATTCCTCTGCATGCTTTGCTATGTTTATTGGTCACATTAAATGACCATTGTGTGCATGTGTGTTCAACGGTTGTTTGACTGATCTGTTTCTGCGTTGCCCAGTCATGCATTAGTAATTGATGAATCGCCCAGGGTTCTCTTAAGATGGATGGATGGTGCTCTATGCTTCTAAGGTTCAAAGCGTATCTTGATCTCTGACTTGTTTGGTGAGTTACTTGGGCTTCATTTTACCATTTTTTCACCAAACTCCTGTAAGAATCCTCAGAGGCCTTCGCATAACTGCTCTGTTTATACTGAGATCAAACTTAACTCATTAGAAAACTGTGTGATTTCCAACTGCAGTAGGATTAATTATCAACATTAGTCTAAAAATACAATTCGCATGACCCTTTTCAATGAACGTGCAGTTGTGTGGAACTGTCATGTGCTTCAATAGCAAAAACATGTTTCCATATGAAATGCATCCACATGCGAGAACAGGCATCTCTGGCTGACCTCACAGCTTGGAGCTGTCTGTCCTCTGGACATCACGTCAGGCCCTGCTGAACCCATCAGCTTTGCTTTGAGCCAGACTCTAATCTCTGCTTGCTGACTTTAAAGGAATCCAGCTGCAGTCCAGCAGCAACGGGTTAAACATGGGAGTGATGGCACTGGCCTCAATGTGTCACAACCGACATTGACATCATTGATAACTTATGAATCCAAAGAGCCTGACTGCACCGCTGCCCCTACCCTCTTTGAGTCGCCCATGTAAAGCATGAATGGGATTAAACTGCCACCTCCACTTGCTGTGACTCTGCTGCTCGCAAATACTCCTGAGTCCAGAGACGTGCGCGCACTGCTTAAGGATTCATCCAATCGATAAATAATGTTTGCAACTGACTTACATAATATACCCCCATCATATTTAGGATGTATCATATTATTTATTACACCATTAAAAAATTATTTATATCCATTTACATGAACAAAATGTCTGATGTGATTATTTTTACTTTCAAAATGTCCCCACGGCCCAGAAGAGAAGCTTTAAGGGAAGTCGCAGCCTGAACATCGGAGTTGCGCGACTCAGCGCGAGCGTCCGAGTAATTGCGCCACATTTTAAGGCTGATTTCTAGTGAGATCACTCCGGGAGACAGATGATTAATAATAATAATAATTAAAAAAAAGCAGTGGTGCAAAAAAAATGGGATCATTTTTATTTTGCACCCATACTTAGGAGATGCAGAACCGAAATAGGCGAGTCCCTCGTTGCTCCATCCTCACTCTGTTGATGTGTCCACATCATCATCATCATCATCATCATCATCATCATCATTGGTGTCTCACTAGAGGCTTCTGCTGTGTGACATTTTGCAGCGCACAGCTCCAGTTGCGTCGTATAGGCTGTATAGCCCCGTGTATGGACAGGGCATCACAGCGCTTTTAGCAGCCTGTTAAAAGCACAAATATCCCCAGCGATTTAACATCTTACAAAGGAAAACTGCCTTCTATGTATCTTTATTTCTTCCTTTTTTATTTTTGTGGGAGTCGCAGACGAAGGAGAGTTACAGATGCCAACCAGCAAGACAGGTAAGACACCACATTAAGACTTTATTATTATTATTATTATTATTAATCCACGTTTTTATGAAAGAAAAATTATTCTCATTCCGCTCCGGCAGGAGGTGTGGCACCGTGGCCGTGTCCTGTTTGCCGTGGGACGTGGACAGGTCACTTTGCTTCTGAAGATGTGAGGGGGGGAATAAAAAGAAGCCAGGAGTCTGTGCAACTTCATACGTCACACGTGATCATCACAGCAACTAATTGTCGCCCTTAAGTAGCGGACTTTTACCTGCGCACCTCGTGGAACTTGGAGACGGGTGCGCTCCATGTTGCATCTAGGACACACCGGTACCGACGGTGCCGGCGGGACGTTGAACTGACTAATATTCCTTATCATTAAACGATCAATACATCAGCGGGGACTTGAAGCGGGCAGCTTCTTGCTGGTAGCCGAGTGATGCCGGACACGTTAATGCTCCTGAAGAACCGGACAGAGCCACGGTTAGGGCAGCTGGAGCACAACCTGCCCGCGGAAGGGACCACCCGCCCCGCCTGGGTCATCGCTATCCTGGCCAGTGTCTTGATCTTCACCACTGTGGTGGATGTGCTGGGGAATCTGCTTGTCATTATTTCGGTGTTCAGGAACCGAAAGCTAAGGAATGCAGGTTAGATGTTTTTCTCTTTTTTTGATTTCAGACTAGAGAGATCAGAATAGATGTTTCTGAACCATTGATCCATCATGATAAGAGGGAGTCTTTCAGCCTGTAGAACTTTTACACCAAGTGTAAACAAAAACTATCCATGCCCTCACTTTTAATTGCCAGACACAAAAACAAAAGCATTATAGATTTAGGTTTTGTTTTCTTTTTTCTTTGTTTTTAAAATGTATAAAGAAATCTAAAGGTATCAAAAATGCAAACATCCAAACTTTACAGGTACAGAAGCATTCACACTTTTTTGCTTTATTACTCCAAATGGAGCTCAGGTCTATCTGATTTCCACCGATCATCTCTGAGATGCTTCTGCAACTTGACTGGAATACACCTGTGGCAAATTCAGTTGACTGAACATGATTTGGAATGGAAAACAAGGTCTCATGGTTGACTGCACATATCAGAGAAGCAACCAGGCAATGAAGTCAAAGGTCTGTAGACTACAAAGTCTGGCTTGTTGCAAGGCACAACTATGGAGAGGTATCAAAGTAAACTTATCAAGAAATAAACAGTGCTAAAATCACCCTGATTGGCATGTTTAGAAATGAAAAAGTTTATAACAAGAAGGAACCTTATTAGATCTGACTATTTTTTTTTTTAAAATTAAACTGTGGTCAGTTAAACAGAGAGTTGACCACAAAGGAAGAGGTGCTGTGATAGCTTGTGTGGATAGGATGTTCATATTTTGCATTTCACCAGTCAGTACTTCATGGTAGAATGGCCCCACTGAAGCCAGAAAAACAAAAGAATGGAGATAGTAGAATCAGGGGACACTAAATGATCTGGTCTGATTAAGCCGCATCTTGTTCGTCTGTAACAGGGTAATTTATAGTTTTAGAGACATTAAATATTCTTTAGGAGACCCTGCTTCTGACTGCCACAGAGCTGAAAATAATTCATCCTCCAGCACAACAATAAGCTTGTAACCCGGATTATAAAGGTCTGGTTCAAAGAGCAACCTGTAAATGTTAATAAGTAGCACAGCCAGAGAACAGACTCATCTGTATCCCATTTAAAATATCTGGACAAAAACTTAAAAATGCCTGTCTAATGATGCTGTTCATTCTGCATTAATCAATCAGCAGAGAACAATGCCAGGAAATTCCTAAAAACCTGCACACAGCTGCAAAAGAAGACTGGATTTAAAATATTATGCTATTTAAACAAATGCATGTTGTGTTTTTGTATTTTTCACAAAGAGTAGTGAATGAAAAATAATTTAGTAAGAAACAAACAAAATAGGCTGGCTTTTTCATTTAATCCTTTTTTAAAGCCAGTAACATAGGTCTTATGTTAAATTAAGTGAAAACAATAAAGGGGTGACAATGAAATTCTGTTAACATTTTCAACATGTATATGTTTTCTAAAAGGACATATAAGTAGATAGAAACATTTGTCTCTTCAATTAATCAAATCACCTTTGGATTAAAACTACATCAAGTTACATTTAAAAAGTGCTTTAAAAAAATATGCTTTAAGAAAAATTAGCAACAGTGTCTATAATAGATTTTTGCAAGCCAGGTGGTAATGCCAGAAATATTTTTAAAACACACCTCTGCAGCATTTTTTTTATTTAACGTCTATATACCCCCATACTTTCACTCACTAAAATGTATCATAAACTTTATAATAAATTTAACGGCTTTACTATACTACTACTAGATTGTTGCTGTTTTATTGTCAGCAATATTCCTTCATTGTAAACGCATGAAACAGATTTCAGTCTGTATAATTTATTTTATTTTATTAATTATATGATATTTATTTTGGTTATTACAGGATAGTACTTAATTAGAGCCTATTTCATTATGGCAAGTTACAACGTTTTCACTTCTAATTACAAGCTAGTAGGTATTAGTTTTTGGATTTTAACAGCATTGATATATATATATAACCAAGGTGTACTATCAAAGAAGAGATTAGAATAAACTGGAATCACTGTAATTGGAGTCTGTCTGTCTGTCTGTCAGCATGCTCAGATGGCTTTAACCTCTATGAATATAAAGCATTACTCATACCTACAAAATATTCCTATTTTCCTGTCAGGCACATGAACAGCACAAAGGATTGCTGATGATATAAAATTCACACTAAGTTAAGAGTCGCTGTATTCAGCCTACTACACACATCAACTCCTACTATATGTCCTTTTTCCTCATATGCACAATTTTCATATTCAGGTCAGTTTGCCTTGGCTGCAATAACAGAAGACATTCTTGAAGAAAATTACTGTAATTGTGGAGATGCAATGATAAGAAATTTGGTGAACGATTTCTGATTACGTTTTGCAAATATGTTGATAATGATTTTTGTTGTTCAGAATGTTTTATTTGAGGCTAAAATAAATGGATAAATGAAACAGTTTATTGTAAACTAAAATATCATATGATAGAAATTTGTTTTTTTGCATGAATACAAAATCCCCCAAGTAAATCAAAATCTTCCCGGTATAAAGAAATATCAAAAGTGTTTAGCTGAATATATATTAGCAAATAGCTAATGTTTGCTCCAATATATGAGATTCATACATTTATTTAATATGGGACAGTGCATATGAAACAACATAAGTACATTAGGTTTGTGTGCAATATGCAACATTTAGCCTCAAGGTGTAATTTTCATCTGTTGTCCCAGGGGAGGTTTATGACATAAATACATGATGAATGATGGGTGTATGAACAAACACGGCAGGACATTATATTAATGATATTTTAAAAAGTGAGTTAGAATTTGAAAAGTGGTTACCAATTATACAAACATATTGTTTTGTAGTGTAATGATATGCATGGTTTTCCTGTCTAAAGGAACAGAGTCAGTGTCATAGTTTATGCATTGGAGATGGTGGTCTCTTACACACCTCTGGAGTTATTCAGGTTTTTACTGGGGTTTTTAGATAGAAACAAAATGAGGAAGGATCTGACTTTGCTGTTTTTATTTGTGTTAATATTAATGCATAAGCATGATTAGTGGGGTTTGCATCACTAATACAGCGACTGTGTGTGTTTCCTGTTTAATTGACCTTTTGCATTTCTTATTTCTTACTCCCTGCTGTTGCAGCCTAACTGAAAACCCAACATGCCTCAGTAGGAAACAGCTTACCTTGAAGAATCTTCTTAAAACTTTTTGTGCTTTTTCCAATTTTTGTTGATTAAAGAATGCTTTGAGTCTTCTATTTGGAGTAATAAGATTTGAACTGAACAATGTTGTCAGAGTGGTTAAAAAGGACATTTTAAGTTTTCTCCAAATCATCCAAATCTAGTCATACAGTACAATTTCTCTGTGAATCTCTTAAATTGTATGTGATGATATGTGAAGATTTACAATATCACACACATTGGAAAGTGCAACTCTTTGAGTACCTTCTTAAATCAGAAAAGGTAATTCAATGTCCTTATTTGTCAAATCTTTACATTTTAATCTTGCATATGTTCCAACTGGAAAGGTTACCAGGCTATAAATGTTCTTCTGCAAAATAGCATGGAGCTTGGAATAAAGATGCCTCATTCAAAAGTAGGACCTAAAACATGTTGACACCGATATTTTTTGAAATGAGGTGTGCTGACTGACCAGTTTTTGGTTTATTACACACCAGTTAGGATTCTTGAGATGTGGACGTATTTGCATATCACACAAATCAGCAACTATTTTATGTCAAGCATGTTGCAACATTAGGTCTGTCTTCACTTTGTTCATGTCAGACCAGGTACAATACAACCCTTTATTTTTGGATGTTATAAACCCTTTTTTGAATTCCTTTACATAGGAGAACATTTTCTGCACATTTCCTTCAGATAGCCATCACTCTACCATTTGAATGTAACCGTGACTCCCAAATTGAGCTCTCAAGCATGTATTAAAAAAAGAAAAAAAAATCTTCTGTATAGGTACACTATGTGGAATTCATACCTACGAACTACCTTAACCGCTGGGGTTTTAGTATTTGAAGCAATTCAAAGTAGAATAAAGGAAAAAATATATATATATTTTGAAAGCTTGCTGCTTGAGGAAATTGTATTTGGGAAACTTGAGTTACAAAAGCCCATTTTACTCATAAAAGTTTGATTTTTCTTCTGCTAAATCGAGTGGTGTAGCTAATTAATATCTGAACTGCAGTGTAAAAACCTTACTCAGTCCTTTAAGTGGAATTGCTGCTGGCTTTGGATGTTTAAGGAAGAACATTTGCTCCTAAAAGAGGTTTTGCCGAAATAGAACAACTTCAATATCAGTGGCTTAAACATTACATTTTGCGTCCTTGAACAAATAATTCATGCATTAATTTCTTTTCTAGGAAGGCTTTTTTTCTTTTAAATCATATGGCTTCAACAGCCTGTTTTTGCTTGCCTTATTAGAAACTCCTCTGTCTCTTTCTTAGTTTATCTCTGAAGTGCGAGCACAACTGAAATAAATGTGCTTAGCTTTTCAGCTCTATGTACATCTCTGCCCTAAAGCTGATATCTGTGAACCCAAACAGTCCTCTCAGCAGTTCCATACCCAAAGTTGTGAACTCAAAGGATGGCTACTGTAGACTGAAACAACCTACTTAAACAATATAACTCAATAGGACAGTATTAACAGTCACAGAGAGATCACATGATTGCATCAAATATCTGTGACTCAGAAATCCTTATTCATGTTCTGCAGTGTTTTATTGCAAAGCAAATGAGTATTGCCTTTTTTACGTGAAAGCATACCATAATTACTGGAACAAATATTACCTTGGAAATGTGTTATCCACTGGAAAGCACCTTCAACATAAACTTATGCATGTTCACAAAAACATACAGTAAGGTTAACATCAGAGGGAAAAATGTTACAGGAAATGTGCAGATGTTGTTTTTTTTTATTGCATTGTCTTGAACAAATCTGTGAATGAGCATGTGAAAAGCTGAGTGCACGCTAGTGTTGGACACGGGTTTTTGTCCCCGGAGATTTGTCTTTGAAGATGCTTAGGT